AGAGGTCATATCTCATTGAGGTGAATTTTTCTTATGAGAGAGCTTGAACATTTTTTCAAGTTTGAGAGCCATTTATATTTCTCTGTGAAATGCTTTTTAAAAAATACCTTCAGCTCTTTTTTCAAAATTGGGTTGGTACATACTTTTTTCTTTCAATTTCTAGAAATCTTTTCTTTATCTCAGCTTTCTTTCAACCCTGCTTGTCAGTTCTTAAATTTGTTTTGTTTAGTTGAGATCTACAGTTTTTTATTACTATATATTGTAGTTGATTTTCAGGGGGTGATAGGGTTATTTGAGACAGGATCTCGCTTTGTGTTTTGGGCTATTCTTGAACTCACCAGGTAGCCAGCCTAGCCTCAAACTCAAGGAGATTCTCCTGCCCTCAGCCTTCCAAGTGCTGGGATTATATACATATGCCAACATGCCCAGCTATGGTTAATTTTTATGTAGTTTTTTTCTATTGTGGCTTCTGAATTTTGAGTGAGAAGAAACACTGGTTTCATTTGTATACTTAAACATTAGCTACAATAAAGTATAACTTAAGATTTTCCTTCTACTTTCTGTCCCTGGAATAAACTGACCATAAATTAAGAGAAAAGACAAAAAAATTGTATGTGCAGATTCACAGGCACTTGAAAATAAAAGACAGAAAGGAAAGAGCCAAATAAGACAGGCTCAGAGAAAGTCTTCTTTTTACTTCACTAATGTGAATTGATGCAGATTTCCTTTATAGAAGAATAGCTTTTGAAAGCTACAGTTTCTTTTAACAACCAACTCAAATTATGCCAAAGAAATCATCTACAAAAGTATTGCTTTTAAATTCCCTTTAAAGAAAAACAAACCTACAATTTCTCAGATAAAAAACCTAAGTGTCTTTTTTAACTTGCTTCTCATATCTAGAATGCAGATGCATTCTCTTTCTCTAATACAAGTGCCAGATTACACACATGTACTCTCCCAACCTAGTCCAACGCACCAGTCCCTGGGCCTTTGCAGAAGCTTCCTAACTGGTTCCCACTTCTGTTGCCGCCACCACCACCTACTCTTGGAAAAAGGAAGCGCACATTTTAAAATGTGAATTAGAACTTATTACCCCACCTTCCTGTCCTGTCACACTAAAGCCATGGTTCTTTCTTTGTTCCTGGTAGAGGACAGTTCCTGAAGTTCTCTGGGCCTTGACTGTATCCCCCAACAGAGCTGTGTGGCTTTCCCACCCTGATCAAATGTCATCCCTCATAAAGCCATGGTTGGATATGTGTGAGTAAGGGAAGCAGAGTTCTCTGGGAGCTCTAGTTACTGGTTGGTTTGTGGGTATTTCCACCATATGCTCTTCAGGGACAAGGTGTTACACTGAGGCCCAGGAAGCAAACTGTATCTGGAATCTCCAAGTTCTAGTACCCAGGCTGCTAAACTCACTCACAAGCCCTCTTTGGATCTGTGCAGTCCTGCCTCAGCCAGACTCCTAGGAAGCAAGGGAGGGGGTCTGAGCAGGGCCACACTTTAATGGCACTGCTAGGAGAAAAAAGGGCAAACATCCCATCTCCGCCCCAGGACAGTAATGACACTGGGGACAGGGAGAAAAGGAGACTCAAACTTTGTTGTGGAGAAGCACTGCTTCTGAGTTTATGACTACTTCTGAGTGAATGCTTTTTTAAATTTTATATATCATTTG